TCTTTCAGGCTTATTCTTGGCCTCTACTACGTCCCTGGTGGATCCCTATCGTCAATCTACCAAGATATCCACATAGTACCACCTGGATAATCATTCAATTTAATTATCCAATAGTCGAGTGAGCGATAGACAGACAGCAGACTGTGCAGGCTGCGGTGTAAGTGTAATACAGTACCATACATGTTGTGGTGACCTAACCTAACCAACCCTTGCCAAAACTAACCTAACCAACCCTTACCAAAACTTACCTAACCAACCCTTACCAAAACTAACCTAACCAACCCTTACCAACACTAACCTAACCAACCCTTACCAAAACTAACCTAACCAACCCTTACCAAAACTAACCTAACCTAACCCAAGCTTGCGGTACCCGTTGTGGTATTCACTAACCCTGGGGGAAAATAACCTAAACTTTTTGACTCTAAGCAACCCATCCTCCTGTTTAGATTGATTATTTTATGTAACTATATGGACCATCGCACATATATTGACCTAATGGACAAATATATAGTAGAATTTAGTACTATTCACTTTACAGAGTCAAAAAAAAAAATAAAGCTAAAAACCAAACTTAAATATTCCTAGGCCTATTATAGCACATTTATGTAGCATATTAGGCCTCAGTTAGCGTGTATTAGGCCTAAGATGATTACGTTAAGTTCAGGTTAGGTTATATTTATTAACATAAATACAAAAATAAACTAACGAAGCAGCTATGGCAACTCTAGATGCAACAGAAATTTATACTGTTGTTTGAGTGTTAAGAGGCCAATTTTATCGGCTGGTCCGTACTGAAATGGGAACAATGCTTATATATACTAATAATCTATATACTAATCTATATATTTATAGATTAGTATTTCACACTTTACAAAAAAAAAATCCACTGGTAAAAGGAGAAGCAGTTGGTAAAAATCCTATCGTCTCAAGAGTACCATAACATAGGGGTCTTGCTGCATGAAAAGCACCTTTAATGGCTAGAGAGGGAAAAACTAAAATGATAAAAGCCTCCTTAGAGTTAACTCCAAATGTCAGTCATAACAAATCTGACCTAAGTTGGAACAAATTCTGGTGAAAAAGGGATAAGTTGAGAACGGGATTATTTACAAGTAAATTTGAGTGCCACTTATGTACACACAATTTGTGCATGGGAAAAGGTGGATATAAGGTGATGAGCATCACTTCCAAACATGTGGCAATGGAGGACACAGATGGTGGTCGGGATGTGGAGGCTGACCACAGCAGGTGGTGGCCAGCAGGTGTGTCACACACCTGTCATGTGGCACACGTGACACATCCTCACGGTCCTACACGTCCGGCGGGTCTCATCCACACACCTGTGTTATGACACATGAACTGCTTGCACTATACATATAAGGAATGCATTATATATATATATATATATATATATATATATATATATATATATGTCGTACCTAGTAGCCAGAACTCATTTCTGAGCCTACTATGCAAGGCCTGATTTGCCTAATAAGCCTAGTTTTCATGAATTATTGTTTTTTTCGACAACCTAACCTACCTAACCTAACCTAACCTAACGTTTTCGGCTACCTAACCTAACCTAACCTATAAAGATAGGTTAGGTTAGGTTAGGTAGGGTTGGTTAGGTTCGGTCATATATCTACGTTAATTTTAACTCCAATAAAAAAATTGACCTCATACATAATGAAATGGGTAGCTTTATCATTTCATAAGAAAAAAATTAGAGAAAATATATTAATTCAGTAAAAGTTGGCTTATTAGGCAAATCGGGCCTCGCATAGTAGGCTGAGAAGCGAGTTCTGGCTGCTAGGTACGACATATATATATATATATATATATATATATATATATATATATATATATATATATATATGTCGTACCTAATAGCCAGAGCGCACTTCTCAGCCTACTATTCAAGGCCCGATTTGCCTAATAAGCCAAGTTTTCATGAATTAATGTTTTTTTCGGTACCTAACCTACCTAACCTAACCTAACCTAGCTTTTTTTGACTACCTAACCTAACCTTACCTATAAATATAGGTTAGGTTAGGTTAGGTAGGGTTGGTTAGGTTCGGTCATATATCTACGTTAATTTTAACTCCAATAAAAAAAATTGACCTCATAAATAGAGAAAAGGGTTGCTTTATCATTTCATAAGAAAAAATTTATAGTAAATATATTAATTCAGGAAAACTTGGCTTATTAGGCAAATCGGGCCTTGAATAGTAGGCCAAAAAGTGAGTTCTGGCTACTAGGTACGACATATATATATATATATATATATATATATATATATATATATATATATATAAATATATATATATATATATATATATATATATATATATATACCACTTTAGAACACTTTCCCACCAGGAGACTCGAACCCTAGCCAGCACAGAAGCCTTCCAGCAACTGGCATAACAGGTACGCCTTAACCCTCTTCACCACTGAGGGTTGACCTCAGACCTCTTCACCGGTCTGAGCATGTGGTGAAGAGGTTAAGGCGTACCTGTTATGCCAGTTGCTGGAAGGCTTCTGTGCTGGCTAGGGTTCGAGTCTCCTGGTGGGAAAGTGTTCTAAAGTTGTATACTTCACTCTCGTGTTTAGGAGAGTTGTGCCTTATATATATATATATATATATATATATATATATATATATATATATATATATATATATATATATATATATATATATATATATATATATATATATATATATATATATATATATATATATATATATATATATATATATATATGTCGTACCTAGTAGCCAGAACGCACTTCTCAGTCTACAAAGCAAGGCCCGATTTGCCTAATAAGCCAAGTTTTCATGAATTAATTGGTTTTCAACTACCTAACCTACCTAACCTAACCTAACCTAACTTTTTCGGCTACCTAACCTAACCTAACCTGTAAAGATAGGTTAGGTTAGGTTAGGTAGGGTTGGTTAGGTTCGGTCATATATCTACGTTTATTTTAACTCTAATAAAGAAAAATTGACCTCATACATAATGAAATGGGTAGCTTTATCAGTTCATAAGAAAAAAAATTGAGAAAATATATTAATTCATGAAAACTTGGCTTATTAGGCAAATCTGGCCTTGGATAGTAGGCTGAGAAGTGCGTTCTGGCTACTAGGTACGACATATATATATATATATATATATATATATATATATATATATATATATATATATATATATGTCGTACCTAATAGCCAGAACGCACTTCTCAGCCTACTATGCAAGGCCCGATTTGCCTAATAAGCCAAGTTTTCATTAATTAATTGTTTTTCGACTACCTAACCTACCTAACCTAACCTAACCTAACTTTTTCGGCTACCTATCCAAACCTAACCTATAAAGATAGGTTAGGTTAGGTTAGGTAGGGTTGGTTAGGTTCGGTCATATATCTACGTTAATTTTAACTCCAATAAAAAAAAATGACCTCATACATATTGAAATGGGTAGCTTTATCATTTCATTAGAAAAAAATTAGAAATAATATATTAATTCAGGAAAACTTGGCTTATTAGGCAAATCGGGCCTTGAATAGTAGGCCAAAAAGTGAGTTCTGGCTACTAGGTACGACATATATATATATATATATATATATATGTCGTACCTAGTAGCCAGAACGCACTTCTCTGCCTACTATTCAAGGCCCGATTTGCCTAATAAGCCAAGTTTTCATGAATTAATTGTTTTTCGACTACCTAACCTACCTAACCTAACCTAACCAAACTTTTTCGGCCACCTAACCTAACCTAACCTATAAAGATAGGTTAGGTTAGGTTAGGTAGGGTTGGTTAGGTTCGGTCATATATCTACGTTAATTTTAACTCCAATAAAAAAAAATTGACCTCATACATAATGAAATGGGTAGTTTTATCATTTCATCAGAAAAAATTAGAAAAAATATATTAATTCAGGAAAACTTGGCTTATTAGGCAAATCGGGCCTTGAATAGTAGGCTGAGGAGTGCGTTCTGGCTACTAGGTACGACATATATATATATATATATATATATATATATATATATATATATATATATATATATATATATATATATATATATGTCGTACCTAGTAGCCAGAACTCACTTCTGAGCCTACTATGCAAGGCCCGATTTGCCTAATAAGCCAAGTCTTCATGAATTAATTGCTTTTCGACTACCTAACCTACCTAACCTAACCTAACCTAACTTTTTCGGCTACCTAACCTAATCTAACCTATAAAGATAGGTTAGGTTAGGTTAGGTAGGGTTGGTTAGGTTCAGTCATATATCTACGTTAATTTTAACTCCAATAAAAAGAAATTGACCTCTTACATAATGAAATGGGTTGCTTTATCATTTCATAAGAAACAAATTTGAGAAAATATATTAATTCAGGAAAACTTGGCTTATTAGGCAAATCGGGCCTTGCATTGTAGGCTGAAAAGTGAGTTCTGGCTACTAGGTACGACATATATATATATATGTATATATAGATATATACATATGTATGCCAAAGGCTGCATTATAAAACGCACGAGTCATAGATCAATAAGAACTCTAAATGACCCGGCTTGGATTCGAACCCATGACGCCCAAGGTCACCCACAAACGTATAAAGTCGACCAATGGTGAGGTGGTCACAGTCCCGTGTACGTTTGGGGGGGGGGGATGATCCTGGGCGTGTTGATTGTAATTTTATTTCGTCTTACACACAAACTACAAGAAAAGAAGCCCATATTCTTGGGAAAATAGAAGATTTACAAAGTAACTTTGTAGGCAGAGATAATTACCCTCCAAACACACACCGAAACTACGACGTTGGTACAACGTTCGAACAAGTTTTAACACCACCTAACCAGTTATAACAACCAATATATCAAGTTGTAACAACGTTCCAATACGTCATAAACACGTTAAGCCAAGATGTAACAACTTTATTACAAGTTGTTACACGCGGAAAATAGAGACAGTTTCGGTTTGTGTTTCCAGGGTAATGCTTGAAGTCTACCTCTCCCTCGGCACAAGGGCTCGTCTCTAAAGGGAAGATAACCCTACACGACCACATCACTATTCAACCCGATTTCTCACTTAATACATCGTAATTTTTAACGGAATTGACCAGTTCGGTAAATATTCGACGTGTTAATACAAATGAAATCGTAGTTGTATCGACGTTTTTCTCCGCATCGATCATGATAGGTTAGGTGGGTTGCTTGGGTTTGTACGTTTCTTATTAGGCAAAACAGTTGCAGTTTTTACTGAGTGTCTGATGCAGAGAATGGGTTGCACTATGATATATCTGTATGTATATGACCTTCGAAGTTCCGCAACCACAGATATTTCACTATTAACAGCAGTCCTTTGACACAATTTCAGTTTTTTTTTTTCAAATATTTTATATTCAACTCGACTGTTAAGGTACTCATCATAAGCATCAATCTGTCCCACATACAACTGACAGAGACTCAAGTGTGGTCGGTTTTCAAGCCGGTTACACCTTCCACGAGGAGTCACGACTCCTGTTACGGTCATTCTGTGTCTCTCGACGCACCATCTGGAGGTCCATCTGTCACACTGGTACAGCACCCCGGCTCACTCTTACACATCTCAGAAAAAGGGTATACCTCGCCAACTACACTTCCTCTGGCCTGCTCGTACCGTGTCAGGGTCAGTAACGTCACTACAGTCTCACCAAAAGACAGTCGTCGAGTCCCATTACAAGCACGAATATCTTAGAAAGAAATTATTTCCAGTTACTGTTACATCTGTATGAAGACATTTTTGTTTTTTTCACTTTCCTTAATGAAACATTTTGCAATGAATGTCGTGAAGCAGCTTAACGTAGGCTACTAATGTGATTTTCTTCACTCGGGCGTTTGGGTATGGGAAAAATGATAGAGACTAATGGTTAAATGATTCTGGACAAGTCACTTACCACTTACATGATGAATCATGTAAGTGTAATTAGGGGGTCTACTGGGGTAGAAAGGTGAGAGGGACACCTGTTCTGTCATCTACATTAACTCAGACTCCGTCTCAAAACCCAAAATTTCCTCGTTAGTTTTACTTGTGACAAATAGGGAAACTCGTATCAAAGTGGGGGGGGGGGGGGGGGGGTGAGAAGGGGCTGGGGGCTGAACGTTTTGTACATTGTTCTTATCATCATGTGATAAAGACAATTTAGTTTGAATTTTATAATTGGAATTTTTTGTTAGACAATTATATTATTGTTATATAATCACGTAAATTATTAATTACATAAGGAGGAAAGTTTGTAGCAGAAAGAGTAGGAGGAGGAGGAGGAGGAGGAGGAGGAGGAGGAGGAGGAGGAGGAGGAGGGATATATCCCTCCTCCTCCTCCCTTATTGCTACTATAGTAGCAATAAGATAAATTTGTATAAGAAAAGTTACTAGTCCTCATACTGATGTTGTGAAGGTGGTTACCCGACCCCATCGTCCCTCACTACCCACCGTCCTCCGGGAGGACGGTGGGTAGTGAGGGAGAAGTCGCCGGGAGTGTTCCAGGGAGCAGTGATGACACCAGCTAGGTCATTAAATCTAAGGCTTGAGAATTTGTGTCTCATCCATAGGGTGTTAATTCATAATGACAGATAAGATGTTAAAGAGAAGAAGTCTCTTGAAGCAGATGGACCAGCAGAAGGGGAAGTTATTCACGAAGTTAACAGATGAGTGATGAAAGTAATGACCACTCGAAATAGTTCATCAGCCTGAGGCAGCTACCGTTCGAAGTAGATTAGCTGAGATGGTCATCACTTGAAGTAGGCAGTACAGATGACGAGGCAGGTACCACTCGAAGTAGGCAGCCCAGCTAATGGGAACAGTTACCACTCGAGGCAGACAGCCTTGATGACGGAGACAGCTACAACTCAAAGTGCACAGCCCAGTCGAAGCGGCGTCTGTATCACTTGCAGCTGGCAGAAAAGCTGATGGAGATAGTTTCCGCTCGAAATAGGAGCCAAGTTGATGGGTAGTAGTTATCAATCGAAGTAGGCAGGCTTTGTTGATGTGGACTCGAAGTGGGCAGCCCAGTTGCTGGGTCAGTTACCACTCGAAGTAAACAGCCCAGTACAGGAGGTTAAGAACGGTAAAACTGAGAGGGAAAAGAACCCTGGAGAAGCGGTCTACCAGGATGGCCTTCTCCCGGGCCTCCTTCATCTCAGTCGCCATTGAGCGTGGAATGTTGGGCGTCGAACCGTACTTGGCGATCATGCCGAGGGCTCCTGGTGGGGGAGGAGGAGGTGGAGGCGCTGGGGCGTGGTGTGGATGCTGGTGATGGGAGTGGGGAAGAGATGGACCTGCAGGCATAATCCTCGGCTCTCCTTCGGGATCCCTCAATCCCCCGTTCTCGGCCTCCTGGAGAGTCACGTCGCCGCCGTTCTGCAAGACAGAGACATGTGAGACTTAAGACTTGCCGCAGAAACCTGCAATGATCATGTTGAGGAAGGCAATGTGTGACCCTGCAAGTGTCAGTCTCCAGACCTGCGGCACTTTGCTGCTTTTGTGCTTGACACGTTAAATGCAAATAAATATTTCTGACCTGTCAAGCGGAAATTGCTTATTATTTAAAATTAAATAAACGAAAGGAAGGAATTATATTTGTTAAAGTACATATAGGCCAATCTATGCATATGATTATATATTATTAATTCATGTTTTAACACGCGTGTACTCAAGGGACAAGAAAATGCTTTCGTACAGCCCAACCACTTAGGCTGGACAGTCTCGCTTCATGCAGGTCGGCCTTCAATCCCCGACCGTCCAAGTGGTTGGGCATCATTCCTTCCTCCCTCGTAACATCACAAATCCTTATCCTGACCGCTTCCAAGTGCTATGTAGTCGCAATGGCTTAGAGCTCTCTCCTCGTAATTACAGTACCTACCTTACAGCTCAAGTCTCAGCCAGTTCTCCTGATTTGTCAGTCCGGAAACAATACATCCTCCTAACCTAACCTAACCTAACTTAACGTAACGTAACGTAACGTAACGTTACCTAACCTAATTTAACCTAACCTAACCTAACAAGAAGTGTTCGAAAGCAAGGAACCCACCACGACCCTCGAGACAGAGGCAGAGAAAACGTAGATACCTGTGAGCCGTTACTTTTCCTAGTACACTGTATTTGTTACGATGGTTACCATAAAGTATACAAATGCGACCAAGTAGTTGAGAGGTCGGGTTGCGTACGCCATAAGGTTCGTGCATACGACTGACGTGCGGACGTAGCCAGGTATTTTGCAGGTTAAGCTTTATTCACTTGTCACCAGACTTAACGTACCATAATTCTGACGCTGTTGGCCACAACGTCAGATAACTTAAGTGAGATAACACAGACATGTAATATTTACACCTCCTCGAGCTAATAGGCTTTGGCCTCGATAAGTTAGTTGCTTAAGTTAATATGCTTCTGGATAGGAAACAACCCCGTGCAACTTGAGACTTAATAAATCATAAAATAAAGCTGTTTCTACATGTATCTGAGCACCAGGTAGCAAGGAAATAAATAAATCGAAGAACAGGAGAGGTAAATAGATTGTCAGTAAATTGTAAACACAATTATTTTAATAAAAATTGATAAAAAAAAATATAAAAAATTAACTGATTTGAAAAAATAAAAAAAACATAAAAAAAACAAAAAAAAAAAACATCAGGAATCAGGTGAATAAATCGAGGAACAGGAGAGGAATGTGACGTAAACAGGAATAAATTGTCTCGCGTTAAAAAAAGGAAAAAAAGAAAACAAAAAAATATACAGTGATCCAGTACTTGCAGGAAAACAAAAAATAAGTTGTATTGCTGCCGTCTGCAGCTTGGGGGGAGGGGGGGGGGGAGCTCGACAACAATGTCAGATGTATTACTTAGACATTCTTGTGTGAGGTGAGCCTCCAGGGAGGTCGTTTATTCGAGGCTATTTTGAACATTGGAGGCGTTCTCCAAAGTTGGAGGCGAAGGGGGGGGGGGGGGGGGGGGGGGTCCGAAGGTGATGGGGGAGAGGGGGAAGAGGGATGGGGATGAGAGTGATCAAGGGGCGGGGGGGGGAGAGAGATAGGATAACTTAGGAGGAAGGAGAGACAGACTATCCCGGGAACCGCCGGGTATTCCTAGTATATTACACATGCCTGTCTGTCTGTCAGTCTGTCCAAGACTGGAGGCTTTTGCAGAATGATTACTGAAGGGTAAGTTATCAACTGGGAAGGGATGGGGTCGTGTTCATTGATCCAATTAAAAGAGAGTCGGATCCGATTTGGACCCCTACGAAATCAGAAGAAAATGGCTAGCAGAGTACCTGGAATTTATTATTGGGGGATCGGTCCTGAGATGACCGGGGCACCCCCGAGTTTACCGTCTAGTATATAAATATATATATATACATATATATATAATATATATATATATATATATATATATATATATATATATATATATATATATATATATATATATATATTATCAGGCAAAGGCTTTATCAGGCAAAGAGGAAACTTTTAATGTAGAAAAAATTACTTTTAATTATTCGGTAAAATTCACCGATAGTTGGGACAAGAGGGATAGAGTGTTGTCTGGTGGAATAAGAGAGAGAGAGAGAGAGAGAGAGAGAGAGAGAGAGAGAGAGAGAGAGAGAGAGAGAGAGAGAGATAGATATATTAAAATAATAATATAAAAGAAAGACAGATATATTAAAATAATAATATAAATGAAGATAATATAAAACCAAAAACACCATTAAAATATAAACCAATATGATTATAACTTTCACACTGGCAGCGATGGTGAAGGTTGGTTTTCGCGACACAATATATTGAACAATAAAGTTAAGGAGTGTTCAACGTGCATTTGGTAAACAATATTTTTAAACTCCGCTCGTCAAGAACATTTTGCAATCCTCCCTTGTAATGCCTGACTGCACAATTAACTTTGAAACACAAGTTATAATTAGACTTAATACATGATGCGTATTCTGCAAGCCTCGTCTGGTGACTGGCTCCATTCACTGTGTAAAATTAAAACATATTATGTGTGTTGTTTGGATTTTTTGTAGTGCCGTGTTATTAGAGAAACAATGTGTGTACTCACCCAGTTGTGAGTATACACACATATGGTGAGTATACACACATATGGTGAGTATACACACATGTTTGTGTGTGTACTCACCCAGTTGTGAGTATACACACATATGGTGAGTACACACACATGTTTGTGTGTGTACTCACCCAGTTGTGAGTATACACACATATGGTTAGTACACACACGTATGGTGAGTACACACACATGTTTGTGTGTGTACTCACCCAGTTGTGAGTATACACACATATGGTGAGTACACACACATGTTTGTGTGTGTACTCACCCAGTTGTGAGTATACACACATATGGTGAGTACACACACATGTTTGTGTGTGTACTCACCCAGTTGTGAGTATACACACATATGGTGAGTACACACACATATTTGTGTGTGTACTCACCCAGTTGTGCTCTTTGGCCCCCGCCTTTCAACTGTCAATCATCTGGAGTACAGATTCCTGAGCCTACTGGGCTGTGTCATATCTCCACTTGAAACTGCATGGAGTCTGCCTCCACCACATCACTTCCTAATGTATTTTATGTCTTAACTACTCTGACACTAAAAAATGATTTCTAATGTCTCAGTGGCGCATTTGTGTACTTAGTTTCCACTTGTGTCCCCTTGTTCGTGTTCAACCTGAGCAAAAGCGTTTGTCTTTATCCACCCTATCAATTCCCCTGAGAATTTTGTAGGTGGTTATCATGTCTAATCTTATTCTTCTGTTTTCCAGGGACGTGAGGTTCAGCTCCCTTAGCCTTTCCTTGTAGCTCATACCTCTCAGATCCGGGACTAGTCTGGTGGCATTCCTCTGAATCTTCTCTAACTTTGACTTGTGTTTAACTAGGTATGGACTCCAGGCTGGAGCTGCATATTCAAGGATTGGTCTGACATAAGGCATACTTCTCAACTTCCTCAAAGTTAGTTGTTTTGCTTGGTAAAATGAAGACTCAAGGCTGGTACCTTATACAAAATAAATGTCTGATATATATGTAATACAAGGTCTTGAACGGTAATATATGTGTAATACAAGGTCTTGAACAGTGACATATGTGTAATACAAGTCTTGAACGGTTACATATATGTGAAATAAAAGACCTTGTAATACAAGGATTCGCAAGAGATGTGTGGTGGTGTGATTTCAACCTTCAGACCTAGAATTCTTTTCAACTCCCATTCCATTTCCGCGTCGTTATCTTAACGCAATCCTGTCCCCCCTTCTTCAAATCAACATTTTCCTGTAATTCCACTATCTCTTTCCCTTTCCTCCTCCCACCTATCACCTCCTCTCCCCCATTCCCCCTCATGCCTCCCACGGCCCCCTTTTCCATTTACCAACCCATCTTCAACCTGCTACACACTCTCCCACCCCCCACCTGCCAACACCAACTATACTCCCTGCATGCCACAGCCATCATGGACTCACCCGCCTACGGTTCGTCTGAGCTCTGGGACGACGGAGAGTGAGCTTGCGGGTAATCCGTCTCATGAAGGTTTCCTCTTGCGGCTTCTGGTCGACCATGTCCCCCAGGATGATGTTGACCGTGGCGTACTCCATCAGCGAGAGGAACACGAACACCGTGCACGACGACATGAACATATCTATGGCCTGCAGGGGGAGGAAGAGGGAGAGGATGAGGAAGGGGGCGAGAGGATGAGGTGATGTGCAGTGATTGACAGTGGAATGGTTGCCTGAGTAAGCTTGTATATTGCGGGATTTACTGTCCATATAATATCACAGTAAATCCTGCAATATTCTATGTGTTTATGTCTATCTGTCTGTCTGCCTCTCTCTCTCTCTCTCTCTCTCTCTCTCTCTCTCTCTCTCTCTCTCTCTCTCTCTCTCTCTCTCTCTCTCTCTCTCTCTCTCTCTCTCTCTCTCTCTCTCTTTCTGTTTAAAACTAACACAAGGGTACATTGTGAATGGTACTGATGTTCTTAATGAAACAGTTAGCTAATCTGAAACCGGATACTAAGATCTCCCCGACGAACACACACACACGTACTATCAAACAACTTCTCAAGATAAACAAGAATGAAATTTCTGAACATGTTAGAAGAATTAATTCCCATTCCTTCCAAACACAATCTGAAACATTCGACAGTAGTCAGGTCACCTGAGACGCCTCGAAGATGCTCACCTTGATGTAGGAGACGGGAGGGAGGGACTTCTGAGAGTTGGCGTGTTGAGTGGAGAGTGTGAGGAGTGACGTGACCCCCAGAGTGACCCTGGCCGGCACCGCCTCCGGCTTGATCCAGAAGCTGATCCACGACATGATCACGATGAGGCAGGTGGGGATGTAGGTGTGGAAGAGGTAGTACCCCAGCCGCCGCTTGAAGGTGAACACCACCTCCAGGCAGGTGAAGTTACCTGTCACGGAGATTATTGGTGAGATGAGAGAGAGAGAGAGAGAGAGAGAGAGAGAGAGAGAGAGAGAGAGAGAGAGAGAGAGAGAGAGAGAGAGAGAGAGAGAGAGAGAGGGGGAGGATGAGAGAGGGAGAGAGAGGAGAGAGAGAGAGAGGAGAGAGAGAGAGAGAGAGGAGAGAGAGAGAGAGAGAGAGAGAGAGAGAGAGAGAGAGAGAGAGAGAGGAGAGAGAGAGAGAGAGAGAGAGAGAAGCGAGAGAGAGAGAGAGAGAGAGGAGAGAGAGAGAGAGAGAGAGAAAGCGTGGCAAGTTGGGAAGATAAGAAAACGGCTAAAATTTTAAGAAAAATGAAATATATACACATATGAAACACATACAAGAGCGCCCACACAATATCAGATAAGCAGAAATAACAAAATTAATTAATCCACTTGACAAAATAAACAAATCCCACCTCCTCCTTCACGTGGTAAAGACCCGCAAGATATATAAACCCATAAAATACCAATACACCTCTAATATATTGTAGCTTCAAACCCACGTACACCTGCTCCTAGATTACAAAATATTACAGCCAATTTATGCTAGCATTTGAAATTCTAGCTGTTAACTGGGAAGCCTACAAAATTTTAATATAAATGCATATCTATGTATATTTTTGCATACCGAGAATTTCCTGGGCCCGAGTAAGTGATGCCACAGAACTTAAGATCCCAAACTTAGGTTGTCATGTTTTAAGACGAGGGAATGTAGCAGAATTTTTTGGTGGCTTCCTTCACGTCTTTTTTATATAACTTTTCTATGTGCTAGAGAACTAATAACTTAAAGTTTGTCACTAACCTGCCGTGATGAGATGAGTCGATTTTTTGGTGTGTGGAGAGAGAGAATATATGTTTTGAGAAAATCGGTAGGAGCCGTGAAGAGGATTCGAACCAATCCTCGAGGAATTCTCAAGCGAACACCTTAAACAACTACACCACGACATTGTTCAAAAAATTCCAACCTGGAATTCAACTGAATCCTTTAGGGTTCCTGTGACTTTCACTGAAGCCAAACCAGGGTTTCACATAATTCCCCCCTTATGCACCTTGGCTTTGTAGTTTAGGAATTCTACTGATTTTGAATAAGGTGCGTGTTATCTTTCAGCAGTTCTATATACAGTAGTTTACTATGGCCTCTTATATCCTCATAATTATCCTCATTCTCATAGCTTCTTGCCTTATAACCCCCCACTTCTTCTCTCTTTATATTGGCATATTGGTTTAGTGTTTTCTTCTTATACTTACATTGTCCACTTCTACCAGTCAGTTTGTAGCAAAACACAATGATTATTTGCTCACTGGAGTACCTCATTTGCAGTTTATCGTTTCGGGTTATTTAATATAGAGATAATACTTTTGTTTGGCTGGCATGTTAATTCTCCTCATTCATGTGAATTCTTTGACATGCTGACTCTAAACGTTTATTTTTTTGCAGAGTTCCCTTCTCTTACATATATACCTCATTAGCTCAATGAAATTTCTAGTTTTCCAAATTTGTTTTTATATGAATAAAATCAACAACAATTAATAGCCTGGTTTTAGACGATTTTTGCTGTTCTTACTTTCTTAATTTTTATAGAACCCCGATTGTTGTTTCCCAAACTTCTTTTTTGGGGCTTTTGTTTTTCTCTGATGGAATAAATATAAATGTCACAATTACCCATGTCCTATCTGGGACTATCGCGCCTGTACTCAGTTTATATAAATTTTAGCAGTTTATTAATAACAATGTTTAAAATCACAAGTGTTTTCCTATCAGCAGTGCTACATTACCTCGTCTCTTTTTCTCTACTACCTCACAATTTAGTAGTCTCTTCAGATGACGACAGCTGATATTATCTAAGAAATATATATTAACCATTATGTTGTTTCGTTTGAGCTAATATAACATGCTTGTGTTTTAAAATCAACAGTCTTATTTGTTATTTAACAATCTTTCTTGACCATTACTGTGCTGTTCATTAATCTGGATTCCTGAATTGTCTCTCACACGTGAAGTAAAAGAGTGTACCTTACTTGTGGGGCTCACCTGAAGTAGTTCTCTACACGAGTACACCAGAAGCAGCCCTCACCTGTGGAGTACACCTGCGTACAGTCTCCGGTTTCGTTGGAGACGAGGTCAAGTTGAGGCAGTTCTATCCTGTCGTCCACCTCGAGTGGTACCAGCGGATCCCACACGAAGATGAGGTCGTCGGTCGTGTGGGACACTGTGTGGAATAGGAATAAAGTTGGCGTGATTGAGAGGGAAGCAGGGAGTTAGGGAGGGAAGTAGAGAGCAAGGGAGGCCGGAAAGGAAGGAAGGAGGGAGGGAGCGAGGGAGAAAGAGAGAGATAGGGAAGAAGCAAGAGGAGAGAGCGAGAAAGGGAAGAAGGAAGGGAGGATAAGAAGGAGAGTTGAATGAGAGAAAGTCATGGTTGAAACTACAGTATTAAATAACAGGGAACATGAGTAGTAGTCCAGATTAATCAAACCTAATGTCAATATCTTTGAGAACTTGAACTTAACAATACAATATAATCATATATTAAACAAAGTTAAATTCACTCGCAAGTAAAGATGTCTTTGACTGAAGCCAGGAATTTTAAGTCCACTACGGGCCAGGAATTCAATTAGTGAATTTTTCAATAAGATATTTAGTCGTAGGAACTTATTTTAAGTCTGCCACTAAGCTTAGGGAGATTAATAAATTTGGTGGCGCTCTCGTTTTTGAGTTAGACTTACGGCTCTCGATCTTCATAGCACACTGTTGAGTGTCGTGGGGGTAGGACTGGAAGTTCATAGCACAGGAGAGGAGCAGCGTCAACCTGTTCAGGTGAGGACTGGTCCTTATACCTGCTTATATGTCTCATACTCACCACCTTCTCATGCTTTTCTATTCTACTACTATTACCACTAATATTATCAGCTACCACTAATATCTTGACTACTACTACTACTACTACTACTACTACTACTACTACTACTACTACTACTACTACTACTACTACTACTACTGCTACTACTACTACTACTACTACTACTACTACTACTACTACTACTGCTACTACTACTACTACTACTACTACTACTGCTACTACTACTACTACTACTACTACTACTACTACTGCTACTACTACTACTACTACTACTACTACTACTACTACTACTACTACTGCTACTACTACTACTACTACTGCTACTACTACTACTACTACTACTACTGCTACTACTACTACTACTGCTACTACTACTACTACTACTACTACTACTACTGCTACTACTACTACTACTACTACTACTGCTACTACTACTACTACTGCTACTACTACTACTACTGCTACTACTACTACTACTACTACTACTGATAATACTACTAATAATAATAATGATAATACTTCTATTGCTTCAACTACTTCTAATATTATAACAACAACAGTAATGAAAATAATAATAATTTTAATAACAAAAATAATTATGTTAATTATAATAATAATAATAATAATAATAATAATAATAATAATAATAATAATAATAATAATAATAATAATTACACTAGTTGCAGGGTCATGTATATTTATTGACTTGTTATGCAGTTGTACATTATTATTTTAATATATTTAACTAATTAATCAAATATTCAGGATACTGACATACGGTATTAATAATGAAGAACATTTACTATTGACTAGAAACAGAGGGCATACACACGTAGACTCTCACAGTGAGAGATAATGTGAGTGAGAAGTGAGAAGGGAGGTGCCTCAGGGGGCACCACTAGGACCCATTTTTGTTCTAACATTCGTCAGCGACAAGCCAGAAGAAATTCCGCCACTCATGACCTTGTTCGCGGATGATTCAAGACTAATGAGCCCGTTAGAGCACTGGACGACTTGTGAGCGTGACAGGGAGACCTGAGAAACGCTTCAGAGATGGGCGGTGACATGGCTGCTTGACGTTAAACAGAACAATGCTGTTGCATCAAATGAACAAATCCGAATCCTCGTCACAGCTCTTGTGGATTTGTTCATTTGATGCATCACGCTATTGTGATTTCTGTGTGTAATGAAGTAAGGGCGAAGAGGGAGAACGGCCTATTAACATAGCTCGAGTGCATGGGGGAGTTGTGTAAAACCCTGGTTTGTGCCTCGGAGAGGCTGCAGGATCCAGTAAGTTCAGTAGAACTTCGGTTTCAACTCTTTTACCATGTCGTAACTCAGTCGATTAAGGCAGCGTCTGGGATGCTCCCGGACGTAGGTTCGAATCCTCGTCACGGCCCATGTGGATTTGTTCACTGCTAAACAATGGTAATGAGAGCAGTTTTAATGGGATAATGCTTCCAAAATTAAAAAACGGGAAAGTTGTGGGAGTACATACAACCCCAAATATAACACACAAGAAACTCATTAACAAAAACAGTATCTAGAAAATGCACAAATTGAAAATGTTCACCTGAAATTTATTTAACAACACCTCAGGAACATAAGCTGAGATAGAATCCTAAATCCTAATCCTGACCCCTTCCAAGGGCTATATATTTGTAATGGATTTGCGGTTTCTCCTGATAGTCCCCTTCCCTTCAGCCACTTGTTCTTTACCACCTCACCCAAAGGGAATATAATCCGGTACTAAACACAGTAAGCTTGTCCTTGAGAATGTAAGGAGTACCTTGCGAAACGCATCCCCAGGCGGCAGTCCATAATAAAGTGTGAAAATGAACTGTGGAGAGTTAATTTTGTAACTTCCTTCGATATTGAAGAAACATAAGAAATATTGAGAAGATTCGTGATAGACATATGCGGGTTCGATTCCCGCACGAGGCAGAAACAAATGGGCAAGTTTCTTTCACCCTGAATGCCCCTGTTACCTAGCAGTAAATAGGTACCCGGGAGTCAGTCAGCTGTCACGGGCTGCTTCCTGGGGTGTGTGTGGTGTGGGGAAAAAAAGTAGTTAATAAACAGTTGATTGACAGTTGAGAGGCGGGCCTAAATAGCAAAGCTCAACCCCTGCAAACACAACTAGGTGAATACAACTAGGTGAATACAACTAGGTGAACACACACACACACACACACACACACAGATGAGTCACAGAGATGTTAGGAAGTTTTCTTTTAGCGTGAGAGTAGTAGAAAAATGGAATGCACTTGGGGAACAGGTTGTGGAAGCAAATACTATTCATACTTTTAAAACTAGGTATGATAGGGAAATGGGACAGGAGTCATTGCTGTAAGCAACCGATAGCTAGAAAGGCGGGATCCAAGAGTCAATGCTCGATCCTGCAAGCACATATAGGTGAGTACATATAGGTGAGTACACACACACACACACACACACACACACACACACACACACACACAACCACACACACACACACACACACACATTTACATAAATTACACATCTCAGAAGCAAGCATGATACAGGATTACACCAAACTTCCATTCGTATTCCGAGCAACATGCATAGAGAAGCAGCGTCCAGCAGGCACTCGGACCAAACAAGTACTCCAGGGAGTAAAATAGAGGCACTCACAGAGTGGGAAACGTGAGTGCAAGTTTGGGTTAGACTGAGTGAAGATGGGTGTGTGAGAGAGAGAGTGTGCGAGAGTGAAAAAGTGCAAGACCAGGACGTGAGATTTTGTGTTTGTGAATGTACCTTCCTATATGTACTCATCTAGGCAGGCTTGAGCTCCTTGTCCCCGGAATCCGAATATGTAAAACAATATCTTTATTCGTTTTTTATATAAATTTGTTTATTTTGAGTATTGAGTTGGCCTCAAATATCATTGTACGTATTAGTGAGGTTCCTTCTGATATCTCTGTGACTCTGTGTATCTAATTGGCATCTATGATACAGTTTGCATCTTTTTTGCTGGTACTTCCTTTGGTGGTGGTGGGGGTTGTAGCGGAGGTGTTGGTTGTGGTTGTGGTGGTGTTGGTGGTTGTGGTGGTGATGGAGGTTGAGTTCAGGGTGTTGTGTAGCCTCCAGGATCATCATCAACGTGATCTAAACATTTACCTTTCAATACGGTGTTGTTAATATTAACATACTCTAAGCATTTATCATCAGGAATAGCATTTTGTTCAAGAATAAAGTACAACCATTATATACTTCTACCACAAATCTGTACCACTACAGCTCCCCACCAATACAACTACCACCATCTACCAAAAACACCATCACCCATTAAAATTCCTCTACCACCACCCACTAACACAAGTGCCTCCTTACACACCAAATCCATTACCACCACCAATTATTACATACATTACACACCACCACCACAACTACCACTACCACAAAATACCAATACCCGTACAACCACCATTCAGTACACAGGTGTAAAGAAGTCTACCTGCCTGTACATCACTATCTTCAGAGTTAGGCAGGTATAAATATATGTTCACACTTGTTTTACTTTTCCATTTCGGTCAAGTCATGCATACTATTCAGTGAGTTATGTTAAACATTCAGGTTAATATTAACGTTCAGAATAATTGGGGTAAATACCTGAGTAACTTTTTTCACGTTAGGTAACCTAAGGGAACTGACAAAGGTGAAAGAGACCCCCATTAATGGGGAAGATAAATGAGAAGGATGTAAAGGGAAAGGGAGAGAGAGATGGGAAAACGTTAAATGAGGTACTGGAGATGGGAAAGACGCAGGTCTGGAGGTAATGGAAGTGGGAGGGAGAGGCAGGTACGGAAGAGACGGGTAAGCGTGAAAAGGTAGGGAGCTATGGAAAAGGTGGAAGGTATGTGGAGGAAAACAGATGCCAAAGAGGAGAGTAGAATGGGAAGGGGCGAGAGTTATTGGACAGCAGGAAGCTAATGTAAAAGCAGAAATATGGGAGGGAAGGTACTGGAAGGAAAAATAAAGCATGGAAAGGGAGGGAGGGAGAGAGGGAGAGAGGGAGGGAGGGAGATAGATACGAGAGGAGATGGAGGTACAGTAAAGGAAAGAGGTATAGCAAGGAAAGGGAAACACTGGAAGAGACGAAGGTATGGAAAGAGTAAAAGGAATAGGATGGGAGAGAGAGAGAGAGAGAACTATAGTACAGGAGAGAGGTATGATAGAAGAGGGAGGTATCCAGTGGAAGAGAAGAGGAGGTGAAACAACATCATGTGGAAGGGGAAATTGTCTATTTATCCAGGCACCTGTTGTGTTCCCACACGCTGAAGACCATATTATCTAGTAGGTGGTGGTGGTAGGTGGTGGTAGGTGGTGGTAGGTGGTGGTGTGGGTGGTGGTAGGTGGTGGTAGGTGGGATGGTGGTGGTAGGTGGGAGGTGGTGGTAGGTGGTGGTGGTAGGTGGTGGTGGTGGTAGGTGGTGGTGGTGGTGGTAGGTGGGATGTGGTGGTGGTAGGTGGTGGTGGTAGGTGGTGGTAGGTGGGATGTGTGGTGGTAGGTGGGATGTGGTGGTGGTAGGTGGTGGTGGGGTGGTGGTAGGTGGTGGTGGTAGGTGGTGGTGGTGGTAGGTGGTGGCAGGTAGGTGGTGGTGGTGGTGGTAGGTGGGATGTGGTGGTGGTAGGTGGTGGTGGTGGTGGTGGTGGTAGGTGGTGGTGGTAGGTGGGAGGTGGTGGTGGTAGGTGGGAGGTGGTGGTGGTAGGTGGGAGGTGGTGGTGGTAGGTGGGATGTGGTGGTGGTAGGTGGGATGTGGTGGTGGTAGGTGGGATGTGGTGGTGGTAGGTGGGATGTGGTGGTGGTAGGTGGTGGGTGGTGGTAGGTGGTGGTGGTGGTGGTAGGTGGAGGTGGTGGTGGTAGGTAGGTGGTGGTGGTGGCAGGTGGTGGTGGTGGAGGTGGTGGTGGTGGTAGGTGGTGGTGGTGGTGGTGGTGGTGGTGGTGATGGTAGGTGGTGTGGTAGTGGTGGTAGG